GAGCCCCCACAATAACAGTTCTTTTCCCCTTTCTCTTCTGCCCCCCTACCTGTCCCTTGTGGTGGGAGGGACGGCGGCATACTAGATGTGGCAGGAGAGGTGGCCTCTCAGGTAACTGGCATATTTTGTTACCTGGCACCCCCGATTCCCCATGGGTGCTGGATAACAAAGCTTTTGCTGTATAGACATTGGATTTATGACACCTTATAACCTGCCTAACATCTGACTCCCCACATAAACCCTCCATTTTTAACCAGCTATTCTCATTCCTTCACCCCTCCCCACCCTACCTCTATCCATTGACTACAGCTACATTCATTCTCCCCCATCTGTCTCTCACCTACTGACCACCTCAATTTTAACTGACTGATTTTCTTGCATATGTACTGCCCTCTGGCTGCTTTACCACTCCATCTAGGAAGAGCACAGGCCATCTGCAGACACCCTCTCAGCCTGGTGAAGGGTATTTGTACCTGTCCTGAAAGCTTGGAAAGAAGTATGTTTCCAACTATATGAGTTGGTTTAATAAAATATATCAGATTTAGCCAAAGAACCTTGTCTGCCATTCATTTAAAACATTTATGCATGTAAACAAGCTACACATGGAACTTCTCCTGTTCTTTCTGAGATTGCAAATTCTGCTAAATACCCATCATGAACAGATTTGTTAGAATCCAGCAGGGCCATGACATGAGCACTTCTGCTATGTCTCATGAAGTGAATTAGATAGGTTTAGCTTTGACAGTGTAGCACAGAAATATTGAAATCTAACGTTGCTGGTATCTTAAAAAGCAGGTAGATGTGACGGAACAATATTGGAATGTAGGCTGAGAGTAGCTATGCAGGGCTTCAAGTAATGATGTAAACCAGGCTTGTCCAACATATGGCCCGCGGGTTGCCATACGGCCCACCAAGGCATTTTCTGTGGCCCGCGGTGCTGCGACGGGAAACGAAAGTAAACATGGTTTACTTTCGTTCCCACCCTTTGTCCCTCCCCCAGCCCCCTCAGCAGCTTCCTAATGGCTGCTGAAGGGCTGGGGAAGGGACAAGGTTCCCGCATGCACCGCATCAGCTTGACGTTGCCGACGCGGTGCGTGTGGGAAGAGGAGTAGCCATGTGCCTCTTGGGACAGGATGAGCCCAGCCGGAGCAGCAGGTGGCTCAGCTGCACTTTCCCCCTACCTGCGCTGGTCAGTCCTGAGTGGCACACGGCTCTGCCGCCACCACTGCTGACTGGT